TCAACAGTTGTTTTCTTACGATTTTCAGGTCTTATGGAGCCCGTTTTGAACCACCGTTCCATTTCAGTAAAGTAGAAATACACTGAGTCGTTCGTAAATATGCCAATTAAAACAATAAAAAATGAAAAATTGAATCAAAGAAAAAATACACGTCCGTTGTTCATAAATACGCACAATAAAATAACAAATTCACCGGATTAAACAAAATAATCACATGTCCGTCGTTCGTCAATTTGCGCGATAAACTGATAAAATAATTTAGTAATTGAGAGTCAAACCTTAATTAAATGGTAGAAATTATCCAGTTTCTATATTTACTAGTATTATCTAAATTCTAAAATTAAATAATTGTACACAATTTTCTTATCGGGATTTTACATAGTAGGTCATATCGGTGAATTATGTCAAGTTGAGTGTTGACGAGATTTTTATGAAATATATATTATTAAATTATATAAAATTATTAAATGTTTGTGGTGTAACGAACGGAGCCCTTGGGAAACCATTGCGGAGTCCCAGGGGCTCCGCGGAGCACAGTTTGGGAACCGCTGGTCTAAGGCATTTGTCTAGTCACAGGGTTGGTGCGGTCGCGTGGATGCAATCAGCCATTCAACATAGTCACATATTAATGTGAGTATTGGTCGACCATATTTGTTACATTGTGTTAAAGGCCGACGGGCCTCAGCCGTCGTAGGCATATTATTTATATTATATATATATAGAGCTTTTGTATTGCCGCCATAGGCGCATATTATATTTATTGTATCACTGCGGTGTGCCGTCGTAGGCAAATTATTATAAATTTCTTATTATTTGTGTGCGCCGTGTGGGCCACGTATTAAATTATTTATTTGCGCTCCGTGTTAGTGCCAAATTATATTTTTACCATTATTATTGAATTATTTATTGTATTTATTTATATATTTTTATTTAAACATTTATTGTTGCCGCTGTAGGGCCAACACTTATTATTATTATTATTTTATTATTTGGTGTGTGCCGTGTGGGCCACACATTATTTATATTATTATTAGTGTGCGCCGTGTGGGCCATACATTATTTATATTATTTATTTTGTTTTTTATTATAATTTCTTATACCACATATTTGGTTTTTATTATTTATTATTTTTTTTGATCCCTGTCGTGAAGGCACCCTTATGTATTTTTATATAAGCGCTGAGCGCGACAAAGTTATTAGTTATTAATCAGACTAATCAGAATTTGCATATAATATAAAAATTGAAGATGTAATTGATACATTCAAAAACCTTACTCCCATGGACAGAAGGATGGAGTTGTAAATAGTATAATAATATGTAAATAAGGATCTCTTAGATATAAATTGTGCAAGTTTAAATAGTATTTATTTTTATATTTGCATATTGAATTAAATAAATAATTTTTAAATTTAAAATATTTAATTATACTAGTAGTCTTTAGTACAAGAATCTTTGTTCCACTTTTTCAAGGGGCCCCCCTGCGGACAAAGTTTGCGCACGCCTATGTATATTATAGTTAATATAAAGGGTAATTTCTTTATTTTCAAAAGTATTTCTCAGCGGAGAAGTTTCAAGATCAGACTTTTAACATCAGAGTTTTAACTTCTTTTGTCAATTCTTCATTATATTTTGAAATTTTATTGGATTAAGTTCCTTCATTTAAATCCATTTTGGCATTAGATTCGTCTAAGTCTGTAGTTGTTGATTAGTTTTGTTTAGAAATTTCATCATACTAGTACTCTTTTTCTTTTGGATGCACCAGATTCCCATTTCCGACCAGTATATCTATCTCTACTAGATCCAGACACAGTGCCGCAAAAACCAAGTGTGCAGAGTGTGTAGCGCACAAGGGCCCCTATGCTTACATACACTTGGGGGGGGGGCCCTAGTCCCAGCCTAAAATAAACAACACTTTAAAAATACACAATTATTTAATAATGAGTCCATTAAGTATTTGAGTAGGCATACAACATACCTACCTAAACTACTTAAACAAATTTACTACATAAATATAAAATGAAATATAATATACAATAGTTGTAGGTATTTCATTATATATATACATATATATATATATATACATATATCATACACTAACTGTTGTGAAACATGTTTTAAAACCAAAAAAAAAATTGATATTTATAAATAAGACGAACAACAAAAATAAATCCTAGGAAGGGACCTAATAGGTATAATTACCGCACACGGGCCTCCTATTTTGTAGTTGCGGCACTGTTCAGACATGATAATTATGTATGAATATTGTATATATATGAATAAAATTACAATTATTTACTAGTTCTTAAAGTTTTAACTAACATTTCCAATACAACATAATAAAATATAATATTTGCTTACTTCCCTATTATAAAAAATTATTATTATATATCTATTTTGTCACAATAAATCGTTTTCCACGCTGATTATGTTATTTTCATATTACAATAAAATTATTATTTAACTAATATCATAGAAATAAAAAAAACAATGGAAAATGTAAACACAATTAATACAATTTTATACTTACAACTTACGTGTGGTATGATTTACTTCGTTAAATATTATTATTAAATTGAATATAATTTTCGGTAATCGATCGACCCAGAAACGAGGATAAAACACAACTGGTTCACGCGGTGACACTAAGTGTCATTAACACCGTGACACTAAGTTGTGTGACACTGTTTAATTTTTGATGCCACTGTTGCGTGCCGTCGTTCAATCGTAACGATGGTTAAGTTTTTTAGGATAATACTCCAAATAAAAATACTCAAATATAATTTAACTGTTTATTTAAGAATTTTTCTAAGTACAAAAACATTAATTAAGAAATGATCTGGCGTGAAGGTGCTTGCGACTGTACATGTAAACCACATCTAAATAATAGTCTGTTCGAGACTACCTTATATACTCCGTTCTTATGGGATATTTGACCCGGACTTAGTTTGATATTAATATTAATATTCTAGACCCCCTTCGAAAAGTATCTACTAGCCAATTTTATAATACCTTATAAGGACATATTGTTTCGGTTTTTGTAACAATGCCAATTATTTGTATGTAACTCCTCTGTAAGATTTGGATATTCACAGGGGCATATATTATGTATGTCCACCACGTAGATATCATGGTGTTTTCACATATTGTGTAATTTGTATTTGCGTATTTAATAATGTATATTTTAATATAAGCCCCAATGTTATTTATGTGGACCCCCATGTATTGGTAATCGTAAGGACCTACATTTATGTATGTCCTCAACACCACAGTGTCAAGTGTCGTATTCTGTTCACACTAGTGCCGCAGCATTGTAGCATTCACGCACAATACAGTAACTACACTACTACTACCTAGTTTAATCTAACTCGTTTTTATATAACTCCGATGTGGTTACAGTCATAAAATTATAATATTAATATAAATATAATAAAAATGGCCAATAATTATGTATTAAACGCAGCTGCAGATGCTTTTGAACAAATACTTATTCTGGAATTGAAAAATAAAAAACAAAAAAACGTGAATATTGGCTTAGAAAATGGATAAGTAGAATGAATACTTTAGGTGCATCAGGAACGTTACTAAAGGAGTTGCATTTTGAAGATCCCAGGTCATTTTGTAACTTTCTTTAATTATGTTCTATGAACTTTTGCAAAAGGTAAGACAATATTACAAAAAAGTACTTATTTTATAATTTTGTTTTAGGTTGGTCCTATTATACAAAGGCAAAATACAACTATGAGAACAGCTATTCTTGCAGCAATAAAATTGCAAGTAGTTCTTCGGTACTTATGAATCTGGTGATGTAATATCATCTCTTCAATATTTATATAGAGTTATAATGATAAGAATATCGACATTACCTGTGTCGCGGTATCGCATATCAAACATTTTTTATACGTGACACTAGTGTCTTGATGTCGTGGCACTGAGACAATACATTGTTCACATGGCGACACTGACGCGACACTAAATGTCACGCTGTAGTCTCACCGTGTGAACGAAGCTTAACAACTGTCAAAACGAAATTACGTTATCGAGTTTAGATTTATAGTAATGACTAGAGCAGTGTTTCTCAACCGGTGTGTCGCCGAACAATGTGTCGCATGAAGTACTAATATTAAATGACAAAAAACATTATTAACACTATTAACTATTTACAAAAATTAATAGGTATTTGATATAATTTCCATGATAGTAAAAATAGATTTTCAGCTATCGACATAAAATAAATTGTATTATTATCGTTGGGTTATTATTATTATCGTCATTTTGAACGATTAATCGCGCTCGAATCGCCTATTGTGTATCATCTTAATTTATAAATGTTGGTTTTTGATATTTTCGTTTATTTTTAAACAGTGAATACGTATAGTATATTTATACTGAAAACATGCACCGTATCAATAACTCACTTTATTTGTATGCTCAGTTGTCATTTACTTCTATAGTCGAATAGACTTTTTCTTAATTTATTAACAACAATATTTTTTTGTTACTAATTAAAATAAAATGGATACATTTTTGATTAAAAAATACAAGTAGTAAGAGAGAATACGGATGAAGACAATTTGGAAACAGAAAAAAACTCGTCATCTCCTGTAAATGCATCGTCAAGTTTTAAAGAAATACAAGAAAATCCTTCTAAAAAATTCAAAGATAAATATCGTCAATACAATGAAAATTATTTGAAATTAGGATTTTTTTTTGGTTGGCGACGAACATTGTCCTATTCCTTATTGTTTTATTTGTGACGAAAAATTTTCGAATGAATCAATGGTTCCCAATAAGCTAACCCGCCATTTCACCATAAAACATCAATCGTTACAAAATAAACAAATTGATTATTTTCAAAGACTATTAGATTCAAAAAAACTACAATCAAAACAATTTGTAAGATCAGTGAAAATTTCGGATAAGGCACAGGAAGCTAGTTTTCGTATCGCCCAATTGATAGCTCAAAAAAAAAAAATCTCATTTAATTGCCGAGAGTCTTATTATGCCAGCTTGTCGTATCATGGTAAAGACTATGTTAGGAGTCGAAGCAGAAAAAGAAATAATTAAAATACCATTATCTGATAGTACAATTAGTCGTAGGATTATAAATATATCAGAAGATATTGAGGAGCAGGTTATTGAAGTTATAAAAAGTGGAGAATTATTTGCCTTGCAAGTTGATGAATCAACAGACATAAGTGGGAAAGCTCAATTAATGGCATTTATTAGATTTATTGTAAATTCAAAAATAGTTAGTCAGTTGTTTTGTTGTAAAAAATTATCTGGGATAACAACTGGTCGAGATGTTTTTGATGTCATAAATAAATATTTTAAAAATTATGGTGTATCGTGGACTTCTTGTGTAAGTATTTGTACAGATGGGGCGCTATCAATGACAGGCTCTATTAAAGGATTTATTACAATTGCCAAAAATCAAAAACCAAATATAAACACAACACACTGTTTTTTACACAGGGAGGCATTAGTAGCAAAAAGTATTGTTAATGAATTAAAGATTGTACTTGATCAAGTCGTAATAATGGTGAATTTTATTAAAAGTAGACCTCAAAAAATTCGATTATTTTTCCAGTTATGTGAATCAATGGAATTTGACCACTATACATTGATTATTCATACAGAATACATACGTACGTTGTTTATCAAAAGGGCGAGTTTTATCACGTTTTTATGAACTTGGAGAAAAACTTTTAGTATATTTTACAATGGAGCAAATGAAATATTCCGATTATTTATCCGATGAATTTTGGTGTTCAAAATTAACATATTTAGCTGATATTTTTGAACACCTGAATCAATTAAATTTAAGCATGCAAGGTGAAAATCAAAATTTGTTAATATCTATAGACAAAATGGCTGCATTTAAAAGCCAATTATTGATTTGGAAAAGAAGGGTAAATGATAATAATTTGGATATGTTTCCTTTAACAGCTAATACTAAATTTACTGATAAAATAATACCAATTATCAATGACTCAATAACATTATTGGACCAAAAACTTGATCATTATTTTTCATCGCTGGATTTGAAATTATTTGATTGGGTGAGGAAGCCATTTAATCCTAGTTTAAAAACCTCACATCTTTCATTAAAAGAGGAAAAAGAACTTGCAGAGTTAAAAAACGATCGCACTCTTCAAATGAAATTTAATGAGTTCGAGCTAAGCCAATTTTGGATTTACACAAAAAAAAAATATCCGAACTTAACAAAATTGGCTCATTCCGTATTATTAACATTTTCGACATCATATTTGTGCGAGGTAGCTTTTTTTGCTTTGAATGAAATTAAAAACAAAAAAAGGGAAAGATTAATTAATGTCGAAGAGGAGTAAGATTCGCCTTATCGAAGATTTCACCACGAGTTGATACATTATGTAAGAAATATCAGTCACAAATTTCTCATTAAAATGCTGTTTTACCTATGTTATATTTTTCTTTGTTGTTTTGTATATTATAATTGACTATATATTATAAGTTTATATATTATTAACTAATTATAAATATTTAATACTATCTATTATTCTTATTTTTTTTATTATGTGTCGCAAAGTATGAAAAATTTTAATTGTGTGTCGCGATTATACAAAGGTTGAGAAACCTAGAGCAAGGACTTTCATGCATTTGCATATTTTTTCCGGTTAACTTTATCGTATGCTTGGTAAGTACAAAATACGTTTCATAACGTTTATGATGAAATACTCAAAGTTTTTTATGCATATTTGGACATTTTTTGGTTTAAGGGACATATTTTAAGCTTTTCGTGCATATTTTGAATTATTATTTAAATAAACCAAATAAACCCAAGCCTACAAATGACAAACTCTTAAATAACCAAACCTTGCGCGGGATAGATGGAAAAAGTAAACGGGCCGCCAGTTGCCCATCTTAGATTTAAGTTAACGATGAACGAATGAACTAGTTTACAACAAGTTTAAAAATCATTGCCAACATAATTTTAATCTTATTAAAAATGTGTTAAGAAAGAATGGTTGAGTTTGGGTGAAACGGGTCTCACACAATTAGTATATACTCATTTACATTATTTGGTAACGAAAAACGAATATGTTGGAAATAAGTTAATACTGTATAAATAGTTATTAAAATATTGGACACAACTCAAACATTTTTCTATACTTGCGCAATTTTATTTTTAGTCTTATTAGCTTAAACCATTATGGTGTTTTTGTTATAATATTGATGTTTAAAACATAAAAATAACAAGACATTTTAATCTTGATCCAAGAGCATATATACGCAAATAATACAATTGGATACTGGTAATCATAATATTTTCCTTACTCTTTCCGTCGATAAATAGGTAAGTACGGTACAGTTAACTTGATTGTCAACTTTCGAAGTTTCGTCATTTAAAATTAGGCCAAGGAATGTTATAAATTGTTTCATAAATCATCGAATTTATATGAAAGTATAGGTAAGCTTTGTGGGTTCGAATCTCAAGGTTATCATTGAAGTAAAAAATTCGACTATCTGTACGCACTCACAAAATTAAGTGTTAGGTTGGTCATAATATTTAAAGCTATTACATACTAACATAATACTACTAACATAGTAGTTGTATCCATGTTGTCATATATTATTATACTTATTACTGTGACGTGTTGTTACTATTTAATTAATGTATGACATATACCTATATATATACGGTGCTCGACTTGTAGGGAGACGGAGTACCCAAATAATTTTCAGAAATTTTACTGTCCCCCTACTATTATTACATTATATTTATGACACTTAATAAGTTTTGGGGACATTCTTTTTTTTAAATAGAGTACCCCTTCTTTAACTTTGCAAAGTTGAGCACTGTATATTTATATATATGTGTATAATTTATACCTAATACTTACTCTAATAACATCGACCTATTTATAAAAAAATATTTGAATTGAAGTATTAAAAATCATCGTAAATATGAATCTAAATATATTATATTTACGACGTTTACTTATATCAATTAAGTTTCATAACATCGGTGATGTCCTTATCCACTCTTCAGCTCCACAACTATGTCCGAAATACGAAGGTGTAATAAACGTAAATTTATTATATTTTTATTTATCATCTAAATAAAATAGATTATACCATATTATCACCTCAATATATGAAAAAAAGTCAAATATCTCGCTAGCACACAAAACTATAATGTTTATGGTATTTAAGACACAAATTGACATGAATCTGAAACTATTTGTTTCGCAGGTACATCAAAAACAATATAAGTTAAGGAATGGTTTGGTTGTTTGTGCACCAATTTTGATCTTTAAATGTTCATACTATAAATATACATATAAATATTTATGGCATATATATACATATTAAAATTATAAAATAAATCTGTACTCATGTATTTGTAAAGCCGCATACACGCTTGTAACATTCATGCGTATCGTAACTTTGTCGCGTAACTACAACTCTTTTGTGGACGTAAAGGCGCAACACCGTCGCGTAACAAAATGTGACACATGGCAGAATTACGAATTACGTGGGGTTACGAATGGTGGAGACGTGATATCTGATCGAAAAAACTGGTGGAACGCTACGCAACATACAATTCTTTGCAATATTGCAACATCTCAACATGCCTATAATTATTTTGTAACCAGTGCTGTAAAGTATTCAAATACTTTTTTAAGTATTGAATAATTTTTTAAATACTTTCAAAACGAATTATTTTTAATGGTATTTTAAATACTTGTTTTCTATTGAATACTTATTTGTATCGAATACTTTTTTCGAACATTTTATTTTTATTCAAAATATTTGGTTGGAAAAATATTGCCAACTATAATCAAAGCCCGAAGGTTTGTGAAAAACCATGTTTTAAAAATAGATATTCAATACCAAAATTTCCTTTAGTATTTTTAGATAGGTGTTAATATATCAGATACGATATCTGCCTGGTTATACGGAATTACGAGAATAACATATATTTTCCCACAAATCACTATATAGCTGCAAGCCTACACTATTTTTAAAATAGTTGCCCCGTGATCTGCTCTCAATAATAATACTAAAAATAATTAACTTCAAACTTGGCAACAATTTAAACAATTTAGTTGGCTCAAGTGCCAATTTTTATTATACATTTTTAAATAAAGAGATATTTAAATATTGTTAATTATTTTAATTTACTTAGGTATTTTTTAATGATTGCTCATAATGAATTTAATCATAATAATAATATAATAATTAATATTCCGTAATAAGAAGGCCGATAAAACGTTAAAAATATGTTATAGTTGGCGCTGTGTTGTATTTAGATGTTATATTACCTTTAAAAAGATTATGAAATAAAAGTCAGTTCTACAATATAATAGACCAATATTACAAATATAAATTTTCTATTTAAGGTTCCAAATGTATATTGGTTTTCTCATATTATATAGACAGATACTTATTTGGTCTTAACTCTCAGTTGGGCTACCACTAAGTAACAAGTAATGATCATAAATAATTAATTAATACATTTTTATTTTTCATTTATTTGTTACCAGTAATAAGTAATGATCATAAATAGTTAATTAATAAATTTGTATATACATATGTTCGCACATAGCGCGCGATGTAGTAAATTTACACAGTAACAATTGTGTAAATTCGCATTCGCATTATAATAATAAATTATTAACAATTATTATTATTTACGTTTGTCAATTCGAACAATTATTACATACGTTCAGTCTGCTTGTCTGTGTTGATGAGTTATTTTAAAATGAACGCAATAATAATTATACATTATTTACATAAATTATGTTCATTGTACATATAAATAAACACGCAACATAAAACATCTCCAAATTTTGTATGTACTACATGTATCAACGTACTATTGGCACAACTAGAGTTTAAATTATTTATTTTTATTTTTTAGGAAGGCTATAATTACAGAGATAATACAGACCCGTAGGGGTTATATATCCTCTCTTATTTATTAATATAAATACAGACAAAATTCACATTATTTTCTTCAAATAATGTTAATTTTTTTGGGTTCAAAGAAATCTTAGGAAATTTTGACATCATAAAATTGCAAAACATAATTGTAGAATCCAATAAAAAAAAATACTTAACCAATAATTAGGAAAAACTATATAAAATTAATTTATTAATATAATTACAGTATCCATGTTTAAAATAATTTATACAAAAATAACTATTGTGAAGTATTATTAAATTATAATTGATTGTACGCCATATTTAAGCCATAAAAACAGCTTTCAATTGTATTACGTTGTGTTGATATGCATTTGAAAAGAAATTGAAATTGAAGAATATTTTATAAAATTCTTAGAGATTCATTCATTAACTGAGGAAAATATTAATATTCTTTCAGAGTTAGACCAAATTACCACAAATACAGAAAACTGTAGAGGATCAGGGGTGTTACGACAACGATTTTAATATGAAAAGCAAATATAAAGGAGTATAAGCTAAAATTCTTCAAAAATATCATAAAGCATTTTTTATTTCATAATCTAAATTTTCTATTAGTAGATATGATAAAATGAAATTCGAAAGCAAAGTCATTTTTCGGTATAATGAATAGTATATATTTTTTATTTACAGCATATCCAGCTAGATAAAAAAAATTTTTTAAAAAAAAATATATTCTTAATTTTTCAGTAAAACGATTATCGAAAATTGGATGGAAAATTAGAATTTATAATTTATAACCTGTAAGATATTATGATTTCTTAATGAGAAATGCTTTTTTAAAAATATCTGAAACTACAAATTAACCTATTATAAAGAGTGAAACTTTTAAATTAAACATATCAGACATAATGCCATGGACATTCATATGGCACAACTCATAATATGACAGATTGTTATAATGGTTTTCAAGCTTAAATAAAAATAAAAATCCTTTTGCACTTTATATCCCATGCGCAGTTTATTCACTTAACCTATTAAATACGAATGTAATTGAATGAAGCAGCTATATTTTTTGATCTAATGTGAAACATCTATGAATTTATTTTAAGCCGTACTCATGCATGGAGTATTCTCAATAATATGGGATTATTATCATTTATATCAAAAGCACTTTCCACTGCGAGATAGTCATCAAGAGATTATAATTGACAAAGCTTTAATAAAATTGATCTGCAGTTGTACAGTAGTTACATTAACTTATAAAACGGATGATCGCATTGAAAATAATATTAATAGACAAAAGGACTAATAAATAAAATGAGTTTATTGGAAACTACAATTATGTCAGCTATGTGGGGGGTTTTACTTCATCGATTAAACACCACGTGCAATATGTGAAAATATTTCGATATTGATTGTTTACGAGTAGATGTTCTTTAACTATATAACAGTTTAATTAGATTAATATAGCACATTCGTGTAAATTTTGTTCATTTTGAAATAGAAAAATTATCAAAGGCAGTTAAGAATGATTATAAAATAAATATTATAAGAAAAAACGAGAACAATTTTTCACGATGAATCTGAATCTGAAGAAGTAAGCTATTAGACATAAGACAGTTTTAAAATACATACATTTATTTCCATCTTAGATAAATTGATTTGTGAACTAAAAACTAGTCGACACGTATATATTTTCTTTTAACTATTTACATGAAAAATTAAGAAATCAGTGTCAGTTAAATCACTTTATGACATTTGTACAAATTATGTAGAATTTAATGACTTTATAAATTAAGGTTTACATTTAAAAGCTCACATCAGTGTAAGTTCTATAGAGGGAAAACACAATCTGTTTGATTGATTTAACGATATTTTCTTTTGTACTCCTCGTTACTCATAACTTATAAAAGAGGCAATCATATTTGTTGTACAAAAACAAAAAAAATTCACATACCTTGTAAAATATGTACTCGTATTTACTGTCAATTTTTAACTTATGTAGGTACCTATAGTGTATTACTAATGTTTAAGGCAGAGGACTTGTAGCTCTAAAAAAGCTCTAAATATGCAATCACTTATACACTTAAAAACCCCATAATATGCACTTAAAAATTATTTTTAATTTTTTAATGGTCTTTTTATTTAAAAGTATTAATAAAATATGCAGCATTTAAAACAAGGAAAAACAATTACATAATTTAAATATATTATATACCATAGCCAAATAAACAAAATACATTTTACTTAATTTTCTTAATTTTCTCTAAAGAAACGACGTTAGATCGTTATCACTTCTAGGAAAAATGTGTGCCCGCGGACAGTCAAAAACCATATTATACGACAAAAATTAAAAATAAATAAATTTTTATCCAAACATTTTGCCTGTATTGTTTGAAATAAAAATGTCACTTTGGAAAAAATCAATTTAAGTTAAATATGTTTTAAAAAGTATAAAATAGTGTTTAAAAGTGTAAAATATGCCCTAAAAACAAAAAGGAATCAAAATATACATTTATATGTAAGATAAAATTTAAAAACTAGCTTTGTGAAAGCATAAAACGTATTTGTTTCATACTCTGCTATTTTGTGACTGTGCAAAACAAATATGCAAATGCTTCAAGTCCTCTGCCCTACTAATGTTTCATCGGTGTTCACCGAAATTAATTTGATGAGACAAGCCGTTAAGGGTTTCGTGCCGACAATATCCGACGTAATTTTAGTAAGCATATTTATAAATTATAATTGGTAATGCTTACTTATATTTTATTAGTTGATAAATGTATTGCTGTTATAAACATCTTTTTAAATTTATTTTATTTAGATTACCTAGTGATTTAAGTCAGTTTTACAAAAATAACTATGTTCCAAATCTATTTTACTGATAGTTATAAATATTTTTCCATGAAAATTTTTTTTATGTTTCTATCGTTAATCGTTTTATGTTACGTTATTCGATATTATTTTTAATCGTTTTTCGTTTCAGTTTCGTTATCCGTTATCTGTTTTCAATCGTTTATCGTTTACCGATATGTTATCTGTTTTTATCGTTTATCTTTTACCAATATGTTATCTGTAGTCGATTTCAATCGTTTTTTGAATAGTAGGTATAACGTTTTACTCAATAGTGTACACACAATTTTGCTCTGGGGTTGAGAGTTTGAGGGGGGGGGGGTTAACAAAAATAACCAACACAAAAATGAGGATATTAATGAATTTATAAAGTATAAAACAAAAAACATTAACTTTCAGTAGAATATAGATATAATTTAAAATACAATATTTCATCAATACATTTGTAATAATAAATTGTCAATTATACTATTCAAAAAATAAAAAGATTCTTAATTATATATTTTTTCTAATTATTATTCATAATTATCATAATCATCAAAAATTAGATTCATTTTCTACGCTAAAAATATTGACCCAGGCCTCAATCCGCTGTTAGACCGACTCTAAGGACTATAATATATTGTTCTGCCATTAAGGTCTTGAAGTGTTCTAAAATTTGAATCTATGCATTTATCCCCGGTTTTTGAATGTAAATGCCTGAATTCCCCCATCTATAGAAATTAAATAAATAATTTTAAAAGATAATTTTAATTTATTTATTAAAATAATAATTTGAGTTACCTGCGTCGAAGATATGTTAAAGACATTGGTCATCAAAATCCAAATTATAGATCCACTGTGTGGTGGAGTTGTCAATGAACCATGGTATGAGTAATAATTATGTGATATAGAATTATTAATCCAAGAGAATTGTGAAATAAAATTTTTTCTTATTTCTGAATTAGGTGAAGATAACTGTTGTAAGTCGCCAATAAATGCATCTAAATCTGTATTATTTTCACTACTTATCTACAAAAAAATTTTTCACATGTATATTATTGATTTGATCATAACTCATTATTCATTTTTACTCAGACATATAAACGAAAATATGATAAATTTAAGAAATAGCCTTTAGACGACATGATTTTTTTGTTTATAACACTCTAAACCAGTGCTTCCCAAACTTTTTCGACTCAAGGCGTCCTTTTTGTTCCAAAGTTTTTCTGGGCGTCCTTTTCTAAGTCATAACATGACTAATCATAAGGAAAATGTTAGACCCGATAGTATTTCATGACGGCGCGATGCCCTTATACATACATCGCGGCGCACTAGGGCACCGCGGCTCACACTTTGGGAACCTATGCTCTAAACACATATCTAAAATATTATGCATATATATACACAGGGTGGTTTTTTTTATCGTGAACTGTTAATATCTCGGCAAGTATTAGGAATCTTAAAATCATTTTTTTTTTAAACTTTCTAGGTTTTACTATTTTACACTGTGTTACAATTTTAATAATTTTAACTTCCTCCCTTATTTGATAAAACACTATCAACTTTTGATTTTCAAATGGCAATACCTTTTCTGGATAACGACAATTTATAAACATACTGAAAAAAATAATTTTAACGTTTACAGAATTTAATTTCAGTAATCCGTTTGCGACTTATTAACGTTTAAATATTCTTTCAATTTACAGCTACTGTGCAATTTATCAAACCCAGTGGTTAAAACCAGAAGTCAAAACGGAATGATATCTTAATTTAATAATACCCAAAACGGTCATAATCGATAATAAATCTTAAGTACTGTGGGGATACGGTGCGTAGCGTTGCCAACTGTCAATCCGTTTTGTGAAATATATTATTATCAAATTATTTTATATATGTTCCTTATTAATGTGAATGTTGTTCGGCTTATTTTGCGAGCTTCTACGGTTACGGCGATCGCTCGGTCAAGCTTTACTTGCTCTCGCCACCGATCTGTCGACCGAGTCCGACATCTTTATTTTTTCGCTTTGTGTCTATTACGCCATTTTGTTCCTTTCGTTTTTATATATCTATTTCATATTTCTGTTCCGTCAAACGATTTATTTTTTTAATTATTACTCAGTCGAGTTCTTTATTTATCATATTATACTACACATTTTTATATATAACACCGCTTTCGTGTACTTACTTACGACTACTCTTCTGATAATAATTTGTGGTGAGTGGTGCACTCCAACCATACACGCCCACCCCTACAGTACCTAACAAAATAGATAAACAATACTATTGAAAAAAAAAATGTTCTATCAACACTCCCAGAACACCGTGTGTCAATGAGCGACTAGCTTGCAGCAGCACGGCTGAATCAGCTATAAAGTATAAAAATAACATATTACAATTTACCATCATGGTTACATAATATATCATTGGTTACTAATTCCTGGTATACGGTCTTATCACGTATTATCCTTGTAGATAAACGATAATAAATGCCGGTTAACTATTTCTGAAAACATGTGATTATTGGTTAGTCGTTAATGTTAGTTTTCCATTATCCAACATTGAATACAAATTATTAACTAATTATTATTCTTTGAACGTTTAACCACAGAATACGTTTTAAGTAAATACTAAATTATGTATATTATTTAAAATATAAATTTAAGGTTTAAACCAATTATTTCAATGCATATTATATTTTTTGATAGTGTTTTGATGTTGTATTTTGGTTAAAAAATTTGAATTTAATTAAAAATATACTTTTATCCTATCAGCAATATGTACTATTATGTGTATGGCAGTTAGATTTCATATTTTGCCGACAACTTCTTATATAATTTATTGGTAAGTTCAATCTAAAATTAATAAGTTAGAATTTCTTTTTTTATTAAATAATTTATGTATAATATTATTGGCAAATAATTACCATGGTTCAAATATTTTAATTCTATTTCAGTGGAAATTCGTATTATTAATGTAATTAATCAAAAATAACAGTGAAATATATGACTAGACAGCTCAATTTGACCAGCAATTAATACAAATTCATATTGCTTTCTACTGGTACCTATCTGATGACTAAAAATTAATAAATAAAATAAAATTGGAATAAAGGAATACAATATACATATTACATATGTATATCTATATTATATTATATTTTAATCTTTCAACAAACTAAACAATAATGTTAGTAATTTTTTTTTTTTTTATTATTTAATAAATAAATTTCAGTATGTTCATAAATTTTCGTTATCAAAAATAGGTATTACCATTTGGAAATCGAAAATTGATAGTGTTTTATCAAATAAGGAAGGAAGTTAAAATTATTAAAATTGTAACACAGTGTAAAATAGTATAACCTAGAAAGTTTAAAAAAAAATTATTTTAAAATTCCTAATACTTGCCGAGATATTAACTGGTTCACGATAAAAAAATCACCTTATATATATATTTATATACATATCAATTACCTGTCCTAGTATACTGATAACGGTTAAACCTGTAGGTGATTTTATAGCTTCGTCATAAGATTTTAATATTTCATTGAAAAAAACTATATGAAGTTCCATAGCATATCTAACATTAAAAAAAACATAGTTAATAATAATAGTGTTTACAAATTAATAATTGTTATCTTTTATGAAACTTTTAAGTCTAGATAACATATACAATTCAATAAATCTATTTTTTAATGTACAAGTGATAAATATTTAAAAAGAAGATCTTTAATCTAAAGCAGACCAGTCTCATATTTCTCCAAATTCAAATCGATGTTTAAATCAACATAAATATAGTGTGGATATAACCATACTTAATAAAATATATTCTACAATTATTGAATATTGGTATAGAATTAATCAAAAATAATTTATTCAGATATCCTGATCAGAAACATTTATAAATTCTCCAATGTAATTTGACAGATATTTGAACAATAATCTTTATAAGTTATAAGTTATATTTTTGTTATAAATGGGTTATAAATTATAACCCATTTATAACAAAAATTTTTAGAAAATTAAGTATTACGTCAAACTTTATTTTTAAAAGTCAAATTATGTTAAAGGACCTAAAAATATTAATTAAGAAATAATACACATTATCTGATGAAAATTATTTAATTTTAATTTAAGACAATTCTGGCACTCAATAGTTATTGATATAAAACATAAACATCTAAATAACTCAAAAGTATTATAGTATTATATTGGTAGATACAGTACACTTAATTACAATAAATTAACTAGTAGATATAATATAGATAAATGACAGTCAAGATTACTATGACAATAACTGAATATATTCAGTGTCGGCCTGGCCAAGGCAGCTAGGCAGCAATCGCTGCCTGGGCCCCCGTCTTTTTTTTTTATATGTATCCTATTTTTAAACGTTTGGATATAATAATTACGAGGAACACGTGGTCATAAAGTATATTAACTTTTAATTTTTAAATCTATAGTTAGAATAAGTAAATTGTACTTCTTATTATCTTAGTCAGGTTTTATAATTGTGCTGTAGTTCGATAAATATAAATTATAATTATTATGGATGAATGATCTTGATATTAAAGGATGTAAATGGTTAGGTCCAAAAATATAAGAATACATCGAAAAGTTTGAAGAATATGCTAGGATATCTTGATAACTGTAACAAAGTGATCTGATGTTAATAGAGATAATGTATTACTTAAATAGAAACAATTTGCTTATTATTATTTTAATATTATTACAAAAAAAACATGGCATAATGAACGATAATGATGTTGAAGGTTATATTATAGATGAAGTAGTGATTTATGATTCAGAAGATGAACTTGATTCAATAAATTGTAATACCTGTTGGAAATGTATGGCATGTGCTTTTAAAATTATTACCTAACTATCTTGTCGTTATGGTATGTACAACAATTTGAATCAGGTTTTTAAATACATAATGCTATTGCCATCAACTCAAGTCACTTGTGAAAGAGTATTTTCTAAGCTTAAAGTAATAAAAACAAAATTAAGATCGTCACTCGATCAGCAACATTTAGAACCACTAATTCTTATGGCTATAGAAAAAGATATTACTTTAAATGTAGATAAAATAAAACTAATAGATGACGTAGAAAAATCGTCAAAAGAAACGACAAGACTTTTCATATGATATAATATATATTATTAAATATATTTATTTTATACATGTATAGTTTTTTTTTTTTATTAAAGTTGAATACTTAACGGTAAATTTAAATTAAGAGAATTTTTAACTTTATTCTTTTTTATTTAAAATAAAAAATATAGAATCTATATGTATTATATTTTAATGACTATTTTCCATATTTAAGATATATTTAGTTTCAATATACGAGTAATAAATAAATGTTGTAGTATGGGGATTAGATTAGGTTAATCCTGCCTGGGCCCTTTAGAGCCAGGGCGAAACTGAATATATTACACTGAAAATAATTATAGCGTACCTTTTTCCGTCGATTTCATGCTCACTTCCTTCATCCCCTTGACCCCAATGAAAATGTATTTGTTTGAATTGATATATATTTAACAAGGGTCCTCCAGTGATTTCAGGTATATTTAAAGTTCCCTCAGGAAATTCGATGTCAACTATTACATCAAATAACAGACAAATACAAATAACAAAATTGTCAGTACGTGTTAGTCATCGTTGTGACTACACGTATTTTTCATAACTTACTAATATTAGTATAATAACTAAACTTCATTTTTTCAGCTTAATGTTATCTCTCTGGATATTTACATCATATTTTTTTTTAATACGTCAGTAATTTGTAATTATATTTTTTCGGTTCAATTTCGCGTTTTTAATTTCTAATATTATTTCGAATTTTTTTTTTTTTTCAAAATAAATTAATTGAATTCTATTTTTTTCTGTGTTTAATTTATTAAAACACGTTTACCTCGTTCGCCCTTTCGAAGAATATCCTCATGTTATTTTTTCTGTTTTTCTCTATATCCTTCACTTTTTATTTTTCCCATAATCTTTTATTCATCCTAACTATTCTTTTTGCTCTTCTCTGTCTTATGACTAACATCCTTTTGTTCTCCTCTATTGGATCTTGTACCACTCTTAAACGTGCTTTATTTCTTTTTGCAATAGCTTCCTTACATTGTTCATTCAACCATGCTTTTATTTTTATTCTTGGTTCATGGCCTAAAACTTCTGCCGATCTTTTGATTGCCGTTTCCATTTTTTCCCAACAGTAATTTATATCCATATCATGATAAAGTACTCTCTCCAAAGTACTCATCTAAGTACTTTTTGATTTTTTTTTTTGTAACCTTTGCCATGGTTTCTTTTCAATATTTCTTTCTTAATTTTCTTTGTACACTTCATTTTTTTAGAACTTTCTACCGATATTCTAAATTGGACCTTGGTTCTTACTAGGAAGTGATCCGAGACCACATTACTCCCCCTCATCTCCCACATGATGATATCCAAGTCTGTGAATATTTTTATGCGGGAACATTGTACTACTTATTCTCATATTTCTAACAGTTGTAAAAGTTATTAGTTTATTCCCATAATCATTTGTATCGTTATGTAAGCTATCCTTTCCTATTGTTGGTCTGTAAGTTACTTCTTTCCCTATTTATGCGTTGAAATCAATTAAGATGATTTTTGTTTTTCTGGTTGGTAGTGCATCGCATATCCTATCCAGTTCTTCATAAAAATCATTTGTTATTTCCTCACTTTTGTCATCCGTGGGAGCATAGCAGTTCATTATCAGTATGTTAAACTATTTACTTTTAGCTCAACATAGCATATTCTTTCATTTATCGGCTCAAATCTCACAATATTGGATAGAATATTGTTCTTAATTACAAAACCCACTCCTCTTTAGTATTTTTCACCATTATATAAGATTGTCATCTCCTATGTCTTTAGGCTGCCTGATCCATCCCATTTTTCTTCTTGAACAACGGTATTATCCAATTTGTATCACTCATGTCACGATACAATTGTCGTCATATTTTCAGGCCTATACATCTAGCGTATATTCCAGGTTCCAACTAGTATAACTGTAAGCTCTTTTGTCCGAGGCATTGTTTGTTGTTGTTCCAAAATCATTGATGTTTTATGTATGAGGTGATCAGCCCCACGACAACCCCCATTAATGTAGGGCTAAACAATAACTACGGTCCACGGGTTCGTTTAGCCGGTTCCTCTAAAATACAGCTCCCTTGTGGTCTGTTATTGTGTTATTACATAATTTAAAATATGTTCTTAGAAATCTACGTTGTACAATCAGTTAAAAAAAAACATTTTCCATTAAATGTACAGCCCTAATAAGGTTTCTATAATATAATAGGTAATAGTGATAATCAAAACAAGACCAAGATCAAAACTTTCAAAATCTCGGTCTTAGTCTTGGTCTTGGTCTTGCACAAAACTCTTGCAAGACTCTTGCTATTGTAGTAAGCCAAACACATAGGTGTGTCACAATAGAGAAACCAATAATATTTGTATGTGTGACAAACACTACGTACGTGTCTAATGGTCTTACTGCTGAAGGATAAAACATTTTAATTTTTGAAATCACGAATACGTCCTTCTCAGAATTACGTATACGTGATTTGGGACATCCTGTTAAGTTTCTTTTTCCTTGTACGAGAGCACGTATTAAATTTACATATACATATATATATAGGAGGATGCTAGAGCACTTTCTTTAAAATTAGTCTAGACTTAATCGGGATCGGACCTACGTGATTTGATTTCCTATTTTTGTCAATATTTCTAATATCTCAGGTAGAGCCAGTTAGATTCTGTCCTAAAACATTTTTAAATAATTATTTTTGTTCATTAACAAATGTTCGCGTATTAATAAATTTATAGTAACTCAGTTTTGTGTTTTAGTGAGTTACCTTCCTAAATCAATCAACTTCGTTTGAAAAAGAACCGTGCTGTCGTGCCGGTGGAAGTCGTTAAATAATTTGAATCCGTGTTAGTCCACCTATATCGCGGAGCACAAGTAACGTGAGGCGCACTACACTATTTTTACAAAATATAAAAAAAAAACTAAATATCTACCTGTTATAGCTGTGTAGATTTTTTGCTATGACTTCTAAGATGAAACTTAAGTCCAATATATTATATAGTATATTAATAATATAAAAAAATCAAACAATTTAATTTTTATTATAGGTACCCGTTTAAAACTTTGCATTTTAAAATATTATGTTTGTATTATTTTACTTGTATATGTATTTGATGAATCAATTTACCAACATAATTAACTTTGTAAGTTCCTATTACATTTTATAATTTATTCAAACTCTCGCTTTGGTCCACTACATTTTCAATGTCACTCATTTTAAAGGTACAGTAACAACAACTAATAAGGCGTATTACCAAAAGACTACAAGTTTACAGCAGTAATGAAATTATATGCTGTATAAGACACTAGTTTAAGTACACAATGTCTAGTACGGTAAAATCACACAAGCTACGAACGAAAATAAAAACGTACTTCAAATCAAAATGATATCTACCGTAGTCCGTAATGACTTCCAGCAATTATTAGTATATTCGATTAAAATTAAAGGTATATTATGGACATAAATCATAAATTATTTTATGAGCAAGACAACTTTCGACGTTTACATCGATTTTGGGAAAAAAAATAATTTTTCAGTAATTGCTAAGTATGAAACAACTATATTATGTTACTTTGTAATATTAATTCCAATTATTTCTAATCATTTTTTCAATAATTCGTCATTTCTTCGAATACTGATCAAATTTAATTACAATAAAAATAATAATTTATTATTATTTTCGTTATAAATTATTAGTTAATGAATTCTAGATAACTAATGTGTTTTCGGGAAAAAAAAAATTTGCAAGACTGTAAGTCATGCAGGTTCGATGTTGGTTTGGTCTTGTTCTTGCAAGCCTAATCTTGGTCTTGGTCTTGCGAAACCGCAAGACCAAGACCAATTTTGATCATTACTAATAGGTAATATAACCTTTGCCTGTTCAAGTCTTAATTTTCAAATATAAAAAAAAAATATTTCAATTGGAGGTTTTACATTCGAAATGTTACCAAAAAGACAGTAAAATATTCTAACATACAATAATTGTATGGTATTGTTGTAATTGTATTCATTATAAATAGTATAATTATTATACTATATATAATAGATATAATAGAGGGGAGTAATGGTCTATGTTTGTTTTAACATAACATGAATCAAAATGTTGTAGTCATTATTATTATCAACTAATAATAGTTATAAATTAAATTCATAATTTACTATACAGTACTTATGAATACTTTGTCTTCGTAATCAATTTTTTATATAAACCTTACATGCTTAACCAAACAAATTATCGTCTCCTAACCTACTGAAAATTATAGATTATGTATTTGAAGGAGGCGTAACTATAAAAAATAACTTGTTATACCTGTAGTTCCTGTATTTCTTATAACCACTTCCGAATTTTCAAAAGTTTCAAATTTTCTACACTCTAAAGGTGGCAATTTTAAAACTTTTGCCTGATTAGACACAATATTCACGGGCGACTGATCTTGAATATTCACATTATTTTCAGTAAACGGTGATGGGTCAAATTTTTCTAGAATCATAATTTAAAAGTTACAAAACGAATATCCAAATTAATTGCAATTATAATTATTAGTAGAGTTTAAAGAAAACCGTATTTTATTATAGATAGTATAACTAAAATAAAATAGAAGAAACAAAAGTATAAGTTTTTCAAAAATCACAATATCAAAAATATAATTACTGTAGATATTACATGTATAGTTTTTTATTTTTTTATTTAGAACTTTTAGCAAATACTATAGGTTTGTTCGTTTAGGAAAAAAAATGTACACTAATTAGCGTCGTGTCTGGGTAAAGTGTAAGGGATGTGATCAGATATCCCTCTTTAAAACAAACGGTTTTGGTATAGATTAATCAGCTGATCTTTTTTATCAATTTCAATAATTGATAATAATTTATTTCTATTGGTAGTAGAATTGAATAATAGTTAAGTAAACTTTTTGTATAATATTTAATAATAATAATTAACAATTATAATATTAAAAGAAATAGAAATAAAAAAATTGCACGTGATGGAGTTTTGTGACTCTTCCGATGACGAAATATTGTTAGAGCTGTGGAATTCTATCAAAATCCCAACAGCTGTATATGTAAACGATGATAATGACGGTTGTTTAAATTATTTTTATATATTATTTATAATTAAATATATATAAATATAATAAAATATAATAATATAATATAAAAATATCATATAATTGATCTTTTGTAATATTATCCTATATTTTCTTTTTTATCCTTTTATGTACTATTTTTGTTAAAATTTTTGACGCATGGAATATTAGGCTTAATGTTCTATACTCTTTGCATTTTTCAGCTTTTTGCTTTTTTGGTATAGGTATCATTATGCATTTTTCAAAGTCTTCAGGCAATTCTCCTGTTTCATAGGCATTTATTATTATACTATACAGCGCGCTTCTTTTCCCGTTCCTTCTAAAGCTATTAGAAGTTCACCATTAAGATTATCGATTCCAGGGGCTTTATTACGTTTTAGTTCTTTTATTGCTAATTCAATTTCTTCTATCATGATGATAGATCCTATAGAGTCATAATTTCCATTTCCGGGGGTCTGTGCCTTTTGTCCGTATTTTCTATTTAGTATAAATCATTTATGTATTCTTTCCATACTAGAATTTTTTCTCTATCTTCCAGAACCATGTTTCTATCTTTATCTCTAAGTATTTTCGCACCACTTTTGTATGTCCCAAAGAACTGTTTTATGATTTTATATGCTTTATCACTTAAACCTCTAGATAGACAATCCTCTTTTGCTCTCTTAGCTTCTCTGTTCACCATGTTTCTGTTTTTTTTTGTACTCCCACCTATATTCTTCTGTTTTTCCATTTTTATACTTTCTCCTTGTCTCTATAAACTCTACTAATCTAGTGCTAATCCACGGTTTTATTGAATTGTTCTTTGTTTACCCTAATATCGTATCTACCGTATTTGTAATTGCTTCTTTAAAACTTTTCCATGTATTCTCATAATTTTCCAATTTTTCTGTTGATTTTATTTGTATTATTCTATTTACTTCCCCAAAAAATTGTTTTCTTGTTCCTTCCTGCTTAAGTTTTTCTACACACCATTTTTTCTTTGTCTCTTGATTTCTTGTAAACTTTTTAAGACGTAATTTTGTTTCCATGATTACTAGATTATGATCTAAATTTATGTCTGTCCCTGGGTAACTTTTACTTTGCTTTAACTGATTTCTATATCTTTTTTTTAACTAGTATGTAGTCCAACTGATATCTGTTACTTCATCCTGGCATGATCCAAGTGTATCTTCTCCGTTTTGGTTATGAGAATAACGTGTCGATGATTATCATATCCCTTTCTTTACAAAATTCTGTAAGTCTATCACCCCTTTGATTTCTTGTTCCTAGTCCAAAATTTCTTATTACTCCTGGTTCTGATCTCTCGCCCACAAGTGTATTCCAATCCCCAAGAATGATTAAATTGTATTTTTCTTTTACCATTTCTATTACTTCTGAAATTTGTTCGTACAATTCCTCGATTTCTTCGTCTTTGTGACTAGATATTGACATGTAAATCTGTATTATAAATGTATCCGTTTATTTAGTTTCTATTTTGATACCTATAATTATTTCGTTAAAGTGGATAACGCTCTTAATCTTGTGACCAAAGTCTTTATTTACTATTATCTCCACTCCTACAATTTTCTTATCGTCGCCATTAAATACTATTCTATAGTCTCCAGACCAGAAATCTCCTAGTCCTGTCCATTTAATTTCGCTAATACCTGGGACATCAATTTTGTAACGTTCCATTTCTAACTTCAAGTTTTCAAGTTTTCCACATACTCCTAGTGATCTGATATTGTACGTCGCTATTCTCCTCCTCAACTTTTCTTTTGACGACCTTGTATTGGTAGTCCCCACCCAGAGATCCGAACGGGGGACTAATTTATCTCCGGAATTCTTTACCTCTACAAAACTCATCATTTCATTATTATCCTCAGGAGAATTAATGCAGTAGTTTCCTCTTGCTTTTTGCATCGCAGTTGATAGGTCATTACTTGAGCTATCTTCAAGCTGCCTCCACCCTGTCCTTTCATTGCCGTTAGTTCTGCTACAAAACTCGCCAAATGGTCCGTAGTAACGGTTGCTGCTTTCCTCCGCTACCTCCTTTTAATCTCTTCTTACGATAAGCAGGAGTTACTGTGGTCCTATTCTAACCCCAGACCCACAGGGGTGTAAAATGGATTCTAAATTAGAATTATGTAGGATAGTGTTGGGTTTGGTACTAGAGGTTGCAGAAGCATAGGATGGAATCGAATTGATTGGAACATCAGGGAGGGGCTCGGAGATTTTGTTATTGGAATAAGGGAAGTTATTGTGAGATAATGTGGGTTTAGTTTTTTGACGTTTTTTGATGATGAATTGATAAACTCGGCATCCTTTGAAGTTGGCTGTGTATGCCTCGGAACAGAACGCGCATTTGGCTGGAGTATTTCGGTCTTTTGAGCAATCTTCGGTGCGATGGTCTTCGCCGCATTTGAGGCATTTAGATTCGTGGTGACAGTAATTATTAGTATGTCCGTAGCCTTGATAATTATAACACTGTGGTGGACCACGACGAAAAAATGGGTTTTCTCAATTTTGACTAGTAAGTTAAGTAGTGAAGTAATATTAAAAATATCATTATTGTTATCTTGACGATTTAAATCAACTAAAAATAGTGGCAGACCGCGTTTATTTTTATTTTTGACATTAATGACTTGTTTCGCGGAATGTCTTTCTTCCGATAATGCGTCGAAAATTTCCGTTTACAATGTGGAATGGTGGAGATTTCTTATTAAGACTCTGAATAAGCGATAAACGCTAGGTTGATACGTATGAAAACAAGCTCCAATATCCCTGAGATTGTTCGTAATAGTGTTGTAATTTTGTGCGCCCTTGGCGTGTACAATAAGAAATGAGGTGATTGACTTACAGGTAAAGGCATTTGGGCGGGTTAATCTTATTATTTCCTTTGTGAAGACGGAGAAATTAGTGATGTTGGAGATGTAGATCGGTGGGGTCGAAGGCGTGACGTTTTGTTTGTTGAGGATTGGCAGCTCGTTGTCTTGATTTACAGGAGCTGGTTTTTCGTTGGGAGTTGACGAACTAGTGGATGTATTGAATTCACTGTCACTGAGATCATCGGAATCCAAGATGGCTACTCGATTTGGTGTAACGAATATTTTTGATTTTTTATTTACGTCAACTTTTGGTGAAGTTGACGACTTAGATAAATTACGTTTATTAAAACATGGCATACGAGGCGGACCGCCATCGGTTGTCATGTATTGTTTCTACCATATTAGAAAGATAATTAAATCATATTAAACGTGAAAACGCGATAACAGAGCTCATAAGGCAAAATACGTGCGTGCATGTTGAGCGTTATAGCAGAACTCTACATGTATAGTTTAATCTATTTAAATTTGATTATTGTATTAACCATTTGAACAGATTTCAGTTTTTTTATATTATTGCAAATTTTAATCTATAATTGTTTTCGCGTATCTAAGCGAATATATTCTTATACCTTCAAATATTTTTGAGATATTACTTCAAACTTTAGGTTTTTTAGACCAGTGGTCACCAACCGGTGGTCCGCGAAAAAATTTAGATGGTCCGCAGAAAAATTTAATCATTACTACAAAATATTTTTGTCGTTATTTCCCCAAAAAATAAAACCCTAGACATGGTATTATGTGGATAATAGATCTATTTGCAGCAAACAATTGAAATAACAAGTTAAATATGACCGAAAAAAAATACCTCATCGATTTATTTAACGGTATTTATGTAAAAAGCTATTTTAAGCTAAAAGAATTTTGAGTATGTATTTAGTATTCCGTAAGGTCCAAAAGGTTGGTGACCGCTGTTCAAGACCATTCTAGATTTTTTTTTTTTTATCTATTTTATAATATTATTTATTAAAAAGTATGTCTTTCACTTAAAAAATTAATTTATAACAAAAAATTAGATAGACAATTAATTTACATAATCATGATACAATAAATAACGTAATTTTTAAAGCGTATTATCTTTTTAGATTACTTACATTAAATAAAATATGTTTAACACAAAGTAATTAGTATTTAGTATTGAAAGTTATAATATTCAATAAAATATTTAATATTTTAAATGAGATTCTTACCACTTTTTGATGTCGCCGAAAGAGAAAGTATAAACCACATAACAAACTTCCAAACCATTAGATAGCTATAAAAATTATAATGATGGATTTTAAACAAAATGAAAACATATGAGAAGTAATCATTTTTATTAATTTTAATAATATTCCTTTATTGTAAAAAATAAGAAAATCTGATGTACAGTCAATACATGTCAATATATGGCAGTATTGTAAGTATCAAAAATATTAATAACAACAAAAATGGGTTACCTTAAATAAATAATAAGGTTTGGTTTTTTTATTACAAAAAAAATTAACTAATTTACTATTTTTATTTTTAAATTCGTGGAAATCAGCTTATTGAAACTCATGAAATAAACTTTTCATAAATATAATTTCTGGAGCTATATGGGTAGTATACTAGGTATACTGGTCATTCCACAACACCATGCTTTTATTTAATTTTAATTTTTTGGAAATCTCATTCGACTCGCAAAAATTATGTTATTTGAAAAACTATAAATATTACTCTTTGTAATCTATTTACCCAAACAAAATATATCAGTTTTAATTTTTTTTTACTTTATTTGTACACCTAGCATGAAGTTAGGTTAGGTTAATTTTTTATCGATGGTCGATGGTACTGTAGTAGAATTTTGAAATATACATCGGAATACCTACAATAAATGTATTAATATTATTTCTTAACTTTCAAAATCAAAAGTAAATTGTTTATGTGATTTAATTTTTTGTTTTTATACTTTTAACACATTAATATATTGTTTTACGAATGTCAGAATTCAATTTTAATTAAATAATAAAAAATTGTATTGCTTAAAGAAATGAACCAAACATCGACATAGACATGCGTGCACGTCATCAACATAGAACTATATGTTACACGACATAGACCGCAAGTCAGCAGCTAGAAAAAATAAAACCTAAAAATAATTCCACTGTTTATATTTTATTTTTACCAATTTTACTACCTAAAAATCAAAATTATTCAAAATTCTTTCTTATTACATGCATATACTATAATATAGACCAGGGATGGGAAATCCATGGCACGCGAAAAGTTTTACTATTATATATTATATAATATATTATAATATATAATATTATAGGACCTATAGTATAAATAATTAATAAAGCAATATTATTATAATAATTATTATTATATATTATATATTATTATTATTATGTACCTAAACTAACCTTTTTATACTAATACATTAATTATACAATCAAATTATAATGTAACAAAATATAATATTTTTAAATTTTTTTTAATGGCACGCTCTATAAAAAAAAAAAAAAAAAAGGTAATTTTGGGAACTCAGTATTCATAAGATTTACCATCCCTGATATAGACAAACTCTGAAAAAAAAGTCGCTGACTATTATAGTTTAGGCTGTGCGTTGATTGTGAATCAGTTAGTCAGAATTTTATATATATATATATATATATATAAATTTAACTGTCATAATAAAATATAAAATATAGTTGAGGGGAGTATTTGAAACAACTTAGTGAAACAAATTGTTAAACTATTTAAAAAGACACGCTATAAACCGTAACTTTAAATACAGACCCCCTCTTCTCCCCCACTGCCAAAAAAAAATTAAAAATCGGGTGACGTAGCAAAAACTCAGGAAAGCGTTTGGAACAACTTTGTGAAAAAAAGTTCAATAGTGTCGTCAGAATATCGAAACAAAAAAAAAAAAATGCCTGTTCTTTTATGTATATTAAGAAAATTAGAAATATCTGATAATTTTTATAAATTATTAATATATTTAATAATATTTTGTTATTATTTATCATATTGTAAAATAATTTTAATACTTGTTGTAATTAGACATACCTAAAATACATAGTTCAAACGGCGAATTAAAAATAAATAAATACCTAATAAAATTGAATGCACAAAATAAAAACAATATTATTAAAAAGCTATAAGAAGCGAAGAACAATCAAAATCATATTACAATGACTTATATTATAATAGCATAGTACAATAAATATCGGATAAAAGTAGCACACTTGCTTTACTCTAATTCGCGTATTAATTTATGATCACTAATTATATGTGTGTACTTATATTCGATCATTTATTTACTCTGAATGTATGAATATAATATATATTATATGTTTAGTACGGTAGTGCGGCGAAGAGGTAATAAAATAACTTAATCAGCGTCAAATATTACCGGTTAGTTAAAAAATTGTACACTAAATCAATCTATACAAATGCTATTGCAGTTATAATGCAGGTCTAGTATTTTGAATAATTATAACACTTCTTATGTGATTTTTAATCAAAGTTTACTACATCAAACTTTTATTCATAAAATTCATCCAACTCAGATGATGTGTTATATTTTATTTGCCAAGATCAAAGTTATTTAGAGACCAATCAAAAAATTATTTGACGATTTTTATTTTAAATGTAGATTTACATAAATATTTACTATAGGTACCTGCAATATTTAGGGGACATGACCCGTTCGACACAATCTCTAAATTAATATTAATATAACCAGTAAGGTATCTTTATATTTTAGTATAATGCTTACTTGTCTATAGAAATTGGTTAGCGGCAAATTTAATTTTGAAAAAGCTTTTATTTTTATGTCCCAATTTTTTATTTTATACGCAAAGCTCCCACCTTAAGGTAAATAAATATCTACTAGCAGATGACCAAACTTATATTTTAATTCACTAACCAAAGTTTATGAAGTTCAAATGGTTATTACTTATGACTTAGATATTTAATGAAAAGTAATCAATTCAGTTTCATAAGTTAAGTGTTAATAAGGGTTAACACTATTTGGAGATTGAATTACAATGAATACACTCTACATCACTAATAACTCTAGCCATTAGACAATCATCTCAGTCAATGAAATTTACTGTAAAATAAATGCCATACTGTACTATATTGAAAAAACGGCACTCAAATATTTGAACTAATTAATTAGTTATAGTAACAAGCAATCCAATTTCTTAATTTTTATAAAATAGTTGATTGATATACATATTATAGCTATACCATAGAAAAAATTACAATTTACACATTTATCAAATAAAATCTAAACATTTACACAATAAGATTCATTCATCTCTATTATATAAAAATAAGTCCGGTTTTCCTCCCTGACGCTATAACTCCAGAACGCACGAACCGATTTCCACGGTTTTGCATTCGTTGGAAAGGTCTTGGGCTCCGTGAGGTTTATAGCAAAGAAAATTCTGGAAAATTCAGGAAAAATTCAACAGAAAAGTGGGGAAATCGTTTTTCACATACAGCGCCATCTATTATACATAGCATGTACTTCAAACCAATAGCAACGGTGCGTGATAAAGTGTGTGATAGATAGTCATTATTCTCTGCTCAGTTAATTTCATTTAAGCTCAGTGTAAATTATGTGGATCGTGCATTTGAAGTTAAATTCAACACTCTGTCCATAGTCCAAAATGCCTAGAGAACGACGTGCGAACATCGGCCGCCGCACAAGACATGCAAGCCAGCAACAAGTCTATTCAAGGAACTTAAGAGAAGAAAGAAAAAATATAATAAGAGAAAATGACCGATTGAGACATCGCGTGAGCACACGAAGATCATTGGCATCATACAATCGCTTGGCATTCCAATATGATCCCACTGCGAACTACAGTGATGATGAAAATTTGGATATTGGACGAATGACGACTATATGCCGATATTGCAATGCGGTAAAGTTCAAAAGAGAAACGGTTGGATTGTGCTGCGCAAGTGGAAAAGTCAAACTGGATCCATTACTTACACCACCACAGCCACTGAAAACATTGTTTGATGGAAGTGATCCCGATTCCAGCCATTTTCTTCAACACATCCTTGAATACAATAACTGCTTTCGCATGACTTCCTTTGGAGCTAATATCATTCGAGAAGGCGGCTTCATGCCGACTTGCAAGGTAAAAGATACAACACACATAACCAACACATAATTGCAACAATTCTGAAGTGCGGTCGGCTATTCCAGCAATTCGCTGTCGACATGTATGTCAAAGTCGAGACCGAACGTTTAGCGTTCATCAGATTCAATCAGCCAAAGCTACGATCTGAGGACTATATACACTTGCGTGATGCTATTCATTCAGATGGTGATGTTCAGAATATTGGACGACTGACGATTCTCCCATCAACTTATATCGGAAGCCCACGCCACATGCACGAATACGCTCAAGACGCTATGACGTACGTGCGAAATTATGGAACTCCGGATTTATTTATTACGGTCACATGCAATCCGAAGTGGACGGAAATTGAACGCGAGTTGGAACCGGGTCAAAAACCGCAAGATCGCCATGACATAATCGCCAGAGTATTTCAGCAAAAACTCAAGGTTATGATGGATGTGCTTACTAAGTATCGAGTTTTTGGTGACACACGTTGTTATATGTACTCGGTGGAATGGCAGAAGCGTGGACTACCGCATGCTCATATCCTAATTTGGTTGCTGAACAAATTACATTCAAATGAAGTGGATGACATCATATCAGCTGAAATTCCTGATCCAGTCACTGATCCCCGTCTACACGACATTGTGACGACACAGATGGTGCATGGACCGTGCGGTGCATTAAATCCATTATCGCCTTGCATGGCTGATGGAAAATGCACAAAACGATATCCGCGACCGTTAGTTGCTGAAACAGTCACAGGGAACGATGGATATCCAGTTTATCGTCGGCGTTCAAAAGAAGATAACGGTCGAACTATCAAAGTTAAAGTTCAAAATCAAGAGATTGAGATCGGAAATGAATTCATTGTACCATATTGCCCGCTGCTATCACGAATTTTCGAAACACATGCAAACGTTGAGAGTTGTCATTCGGCCAAATCAATCAAATATTTGTGCAAGTACGTCACAAAAGGCAGCGACATGGCTGTGTTTGGTATTGCGTCGGAAAATGTGAATGACGAAATCAGCAACTTCCAAATGGGCAGATACGTCAGTACTAATGAAGCACTGTGGCGATTATTGTCATTTCAAATTCATGAAAGATATCCCACAGTTGTACATTTAGCAGTGCATTTGGAAAATGGCCAAAGAGTTTACTTCACTGAGGCTAATGCGGCACAACGAGCTGAGAGACCACCATCGACAACATTGACTAGCTTCTTTGCAATGTGTGAAGCAGATCCATTCGCAGCGACGCTGATGTACGTTGAAATGCCCAAGTATTACACTTGGAATCAATCAACAAAGAAATTCCAACGTCGCAAACAAGGAACCCCAGTTCCAGACTGGCCACAGGTGTTTTCAACTGATGCACTAGGTCGTATGTACACTGTTCATCCTAGAAACGATGAATGTTTTTATTTGCGACTGCTGTTAGTAAATGTACGTGGACCGAAATCATTTGCGCATTTGAAAACTGTGAATGGCCACCAATGCCAAACATGAAAATGTATGTATTCCTCGAATACCAATGATTCCGACTGATCTTCCGTTTGACTTCAAACGATTGCAATTCCCAGTTCGCCTTGCGTTCGCAATGACAATTAATAAGTCGCAAGGCCAATCGCTTAGTGTTTGCGGGATAAATTTGGAAAATCATTGTTTTTCACATGGACAGTTATACGTTGCGTGTTCACGAGTTGGGAAACCATCCGCTTTGTTTGTGTTAACGTCAGACCAAAAAACAAAAAATGTGGTTTACCAAAGAGCACTACAATGAAACAATTAAATAACACTTCATTTTAGTAGGTAATTGAAATGAATTTATTACTGTTGTGAAATGAAATAAATATTTTCCTTTTCAAATATATAACAAAAAAAATTTTTTTTCTTTATCTTTTAATCACCAAACGAAATGTTACATAAAACGAATCTGGTGGCGAAACGGAGTTCGCCGGGTCTGCTAGTTTTATTTATAAAATTTACTATTTTTACTTATTTATAAAAGCAAAAAAAAATTAACTTTTTATAAGAAAAAAATAACTTATAAAAAGTTAATTTTTTTTTTTTTTTACTTTGATTTTTAAGAAAAAAATAACTTAAAAATTAAAGTACCTATACGTTGATGACCTAATTTTCAATATAATAATCATTTTTTAATATAAATATTATTTATTTGATTTAATGAAACTTTTAAAGCAATTTTACAACCCACTCAAAACAGTTGTCATAGGAGAAAAATATACCTATTAAGATATACCAAATCAATACACATTTTAGGTCTGAATAAGCGATAATATCTTTGTATTTGAAAAATAAATTAATGCATTTTAACAATTACGTTGGTAACAACAATGAATTATGATATTAAAACATGGTTGTTGGATTAAATTTAATTGAATTGGTTTAATATCCATAAACAATTGTCCTGTTATTAAATGGCTGAAGACTTCTATCATTTGCTTTTATCATCTCTCCCTCATGATCCGAATGTAACGATCTAAATGCCATCAACTATGGAAATAAATTAAAATTTTCAGAAAAGCAAGAAAATACTGTATTTTTAAAAATATATTTTATATTTACCTGGTTCCTAGATACTTTAATAGGTTTAGTAAAAATAATCCAAATTACACATTCTGTAAACGGTGGAGTGGTTAGTGATCCGTGGTATGTGTAGTAATGTTGTTTTAGAGCTGTTTTCCTTATCCAAGAGAATTCTTCTTTAAAGTCTCTAACTATTTCTGATTTAGGTTTGGTTATATATTTTAAATCGGCTATGAAACTATCCATTTCTCGGTTGTCTTTTGGTGATACCTATTAAAATTATATAGTCAAGTATTTAATTATTTATACTCCCAAAAAGATATTGTATTGAAATGATTTACCTCTTATGTAAGACATATTTACTAATTTTGTCTTCTAAATGTGTGTTATAATTATGTGTGTTCTTAATTAAAAAAATATTTAAATTCGTTTTAATTACCTCTCCAAAAAATCCAACAACGCATACGCCATCACTATAAGTTTGAGCGTTTTCAAAAGTTCCGTATTCTTTTTTATAATGTACGATATGAACTTCCATTCCATATCTGAATTTAAAACAGGCAAGCATAACTAATAAAACTTATAATCTTAATAGTATTTTAACATTCGTTTAGGTATAAGCGTTTAGCACAAGGCTTTACCTAACAATTCCAGGATATTTTAAATTTTATATATTGAACTCAAATAACAATAAATATTATCATCTAGAAATCCTAAAATACACTTCAAACATATAGTTAATTTTTATAGGTTAAGTTGAAATCAACAAATATATAATATCCACAAATTATCAATGGACTCAAAGCATAACGAATTCAATGATGATATTTTTTTAAATTTAATTTTTATTTAGTGATGTAATATAAATTATTATTAATTAGGAACCCACAAGTAACAATTGTGATAATTTACAACCTATAAACAAACACCTGATAAAAAAACTGCCTTTTGATTTTTTTATAATATATTATGTCACAATGTCACACTTTTATCGTTGTTATAATTTTCATAATTATGTAGACGTACACTTTAAAAACCATAAATTGTAATCCAGTATTTTTTTTTTATTAACATTTCTTGAGATTATATCTAAATTACGTATATATATAAATTAAATTACTCTAAATTACATATATGTAATAAAATAATAAAAAAAAAAAAAAATTGTAAAATCCTAAATTTCAATAATTTAATATTGAATAAAAAATTATTAATATTGATATTTAAGACTATTCATTGTAATTTACGTTATATTAATAGTAATAGATTATAAAAATATTTCAGATATTTTTTGAAAAATAAAAAACCTACACAGAGCTACAACTTTGAAAAAAAAATTATAATTGGTTCAAGAGCCAAAGTTAAATTCACGATACCATCCAGGAACAACTAGCGAAATTCGATTTTATAATTACTGATTTTAGTACATGTATAGTGCCGAAAAAAGTACGTTTTATAATATCAAAAGAAGTTAAATTTTTATGAATTTTGACATCCGCAATTATTTTGAATAACAATCACTTTAAATATTTTAAATTAATTATTTGCGTTCATAAACATTTTATAATTATCTCTTTTTATTAATATATTAATACTATTATCTGTTTTAAAATTATTTTGGTTTGGTGATTAATTGTTCGCGATCCGATATCCTTAATAGTTATACTCCATATATTTTGCTTTGTGCTTTTATCTAGCAAAACTACAGCAATGCGATTGAATTATATGATATTTAATACTTGTATAATGAGTTTATTTAACGTTGTTTTTATAACTATACAAATATTATAAGGACCAATTTAAATACCAATATCTCACAGATTATTGTTTATAATTTTGATAATATAGGGTGTTTCAAAAATAACGCAGGAACTTCTCACGCAGCAAATTGATTGTTTCTCTTGAAATGTGACAAGTTGAAACCAAACATTTTTGATGTTCCTTTGGTCCAAATGAAGCAAAAAAAAATACAGTTAAAAGTTCAGTAGGTATTCTTGTATGATTACAAAAAGACGCAACTTGTTACACTTTAAGATAAACAATCCCTCTGCTGCGTAAGAAGTTCCCAGACAGACTAATCTCGTTCAGGACCGTCCCGAAGATAAAAATCAAGGGGGGGAATTATATAAAAAATGTCGATTACAATTTTTTTACTTAATTTATGTAGTATAATTAACTATATATAGTCGTATTTTTACTTTTTAATATGTATATATGTGTCAGTGTCGTACGTTCTTAAAATTGACAGCTAAATTTTATATATATAATAATATTTTATATTGTATAATAAGTAGCTATATAAATTTTATACGTGTATATAATGAAATATGTAATATTTGTTTTCCGTAAGTAAAATTAAGTCCTTCTAAGCTATAATGAAACAAGTCCGATTGCCGACTGGTGTTTTCGTTGGGGGGGGTGAGACACCCCTCCAAGACCCCCCTTCTGGACGGCCCTGATCTCGTTGCGTGGCCAAAGATACACACAGGGCCGGTATTAGGGGGAGGCAAAACGGGCATTTGTCCTGGGCCTCATGCTTAAAATTTTCATTGAAAAATATTTTGTACGGAAATCTCATAAATACGAGTATAAAATGTAAAATGTGTGGATTGCCTGGCGAGTGCGATTTCTAGAGAAATCCGTTGGTGTGTTATAAAAAACCAATTAAAAACACAACAATATTATATTTTATATGTCATGTATGCACCAACGACGACTCGTACGGTACGCCGCACAATATGAAAACTGAGATACATAGGAAATTGATTTTATTGTATTTCTTAAATTTAATCTGTCATTACCCGATATCACATATATTACATGTTATCGCCTTTAATTGAGGCCTACAGGCTATAGGTGACTATTGTTGTGGGTGAAATAAGTTTTGCCCAGGGTCTCGCAAAAGGTAACGCCGGCCCTGACTACCCACCTCGATCTTGCGACTTGACGCCGTATGATTTTTACTTATAGGGACACACTAAGTCACGAGTTTACCATAACAAAATTCGAAATGTTTTGGAACTTAAGCAAGAAATTCGTCGTGTCCTCAACGAAATTAATGGAACGTGTTATCCAGTGATGGTAGGGAGGGTAGGGTGGTTCAAAAAATTTTTTTTTTTCATTTATGACCCGGGCTCCCCTCAATTTTTTTAGACCTAACTATAGTATTGTCATGCTAAAATTTCAGCTTCTTTTTATAATTAGAAGATGGTGCTCAAGCACCCTTTAATTAACTTTCGATTATAAAATTTCTTTTATTTGATTTTATAAACTAACGACTTGAAACTAAAAATATCTTTATTAGTCATAAAGAATACGTTTATTGTGTTTTATATTTGCTTGTCAATATCCCATCTAATAAAAATAAATATTATATCTGCTATTCACTTACCACATAATCAGTGTCTATTTATAATTGAAAAACACGAGAATATTTAATCCGTTATCGTGATGCCAGTGTTCTGCGGTCGTTAATTTCTGCTATATTAACTATTATCTTATTTTTAATAATCCAAGATAAATAATTTATATACAGTATTTTCTTTTATTCGCTTTATTTACACCGACAAGACCAGTCAGTAATTTCATATAATATTACACGCCATACTAAAAAACCTGCAGTTATTTTCTCCGTAAGTACTATCGTTTTAATAAATATAATAATAATTGTATAAACATTGTCCAACGAAGTATTATAATGTTAACACGCAGAAATGATGAGATTTATCTCATAGGTATTAGGAATTCTGAGTCAATTTCTAGACTCAATCAACTTCCAACAATAAGACAAGTTTTACAACGGTTTCATTATTTTTTGCATGCAAATAAGTCTATACGTAATTCAAGTCACCTGACAGTCGAAGAACTAATTTTAGTATGGTCTAAAGCTGCTATACCCATGAGGTTAGTAAAACACATTGTAGATATGATTGAAAAAGTTCATTCTAAGTGGTTGCTGTTGAAAAAAAACAAGGGGCGATCGTCTAAATCTCAGAAAAATCGTGAGCAAATTTTCGTAAATGAACTAAATAATATTTTTGATATAAGTCATGCTAATGCATTAGCTCAGATGAGGAATCAAACTGATCTTGATTTTCTTTATGATCAAAGGCATGATTGAAAAATGTTTATGACTTCGATTGACAAAAAACTCGAAAACAAGCAACAACGTGCTCTTCAAAGAAAAATTGAAGAGGAAAAACGCCGCCAAAAGGCAGTTGAAGCCACTGCTTCAACATCATTGGTAAGACAAATTAAATATACAGAAGATGAAACCGATGAAGATTTATCTTGTTCTGATAATGATGTGGAATTTGAACCATTTCATGTAAAACAAAAGGCAAAATTAGAAAATAAAGAAGAAATTATTACGAAAAATATAAAGACGAATTTATTTAATTCTCATGTGACGGGAGCCTTAGATCGAAATAAAATCTCTGATCGGCAGGCGTTACGATTAATGGTTCCATTGACTGTCGCACTTGGACATAATCCATCTTCTCTTTCTATATCACGAAGTACTATACAACGAAGGCGAAAAGAAGCCCGAAAAGAGCATGCTATTAATACAAAAAACACATTTACGCCAAAATATCCTTTAGTAGTACATTGGGATGGAAAAATATTGCCATTTGTGGTCGGACATGGAAAAGTAGAGAGACTTCCTGTGTTGGTGTCGGGAGATGGTGAAGAAAAACTTCTTGGTGTTCCAAAGTTAGAAGCTGGGACTGGACAAAATGTGGCGGATGCAGTATATGATCTTTTGTTTGAATGGAATGTTTTAGATAATGTCAAGGCTCTAGGTTTTGATACAACATCTGTAAATACAGGAAAATTTAAAGGGGCTTGTACTCTATTGGAACAAAAGATTGGTCATGATATGCTATGGTTAGCTTGCCGTCACCATACTATGGAAATAATTTTGGCAAAAATATTTTGTTTGTGTTTTGGTGCATCAAACTCCCCAGATATTCCGATGTTTAAAAGTTTCAAAACAATATGGAGAGATATTTCCAAAGATAAGTATTTAGGACTAAATTTAAAAGAAGAAACAGAAACATTCGTTGGAACTACTCTATCAACTCTCAAGTATTTTTTAACAGAAAATAAATCACCTCGAGATGATTATCTAGAACTTTGCGAGTTGGTCCTAATTGTTTTGAATAAACCACCATCAAAAATTCACTGGCGAGCTCCAGGTCCAATCCACCATGCACGGTGGATGTCAAAACTGATTTATGCGATAAAAATATTTTTATTTCGCAAGCAAAATAGTATATTTAATCTTACTAAGCGGGAAGAAACTCAACTACAACGGTTCGTGCTTTTCGGAGCACTACTATATACTAAAGTATGGATTGAAGCCCCTCTTGCAGCTGAAGCACCTAGAAACGATCTGAATTTTTGGCTAAATTTAAAAAAGTATGAAGCTATCGATTCTGAAATTAGCATTGCAGCTAGAATGGTATTAGAACGTCACTTATGGTATCTTTCGGACGAGCTTGTTGGGCTTGCTTTATTTTCCACAGAAGTCACATCAATTGAAAAATCAGAAATTGGTATAGGAATGGAAAAAGAAACTGACAAAAGACAAATCAGAGGAAATACATCCCTCCTTAAAAATAATGTAAATTTAGGAATGTTTGCAACTAAAAGAAGTTTAAAACTTTTAACTATTTTCGAAATAAAGGATTCATTTTTAAATTTACCGCCTGAAGAATGGCCTCAAAACGAAGAATATCAGCAAGGAAGAGATCGCATCAAACAATTACGAGTCGTTAACGATACTGCTGAGCGTGGTGTTAAACTTTTTGAGGAGTATAATAAGCTATTAACTTATGATGAAGAGGAAAAGCAATTTTTGTTACAGGTTATTGAGGCAAATAGAAAAACAGTTCCAACTGAAACTACAAAGAAAATGGCCATTGAAGCTGTATTTTCTAGTGAAAGTTCATAACTAATTATCAATATTTAAATTTAACCTTAATATATTATTTTATTATATTATTTATTAATATATATTTAATCTAACCTTAATTGTAATAATTAAATAAAAAATAATAAATACATATTTTTTTTATGTTATATAAGAAACATGAAATCCAAAAAAAAAGTTCATTTTTACAAGTGCTTGAGCACTGACTTCTAAAGAAAATAGAAAGTCAACACTATCGGAAAACTATACTATAGATAAGCCTAAAAAAATAAGAGAGTGGCTCGGATTATAAGTCAACTTTTTTTTTTTTACATTTAATCGTGAACCACCCTAAGGGAGGGCCATATGCCCGATATTGTTTTTCACTATTAAACTTTAACTTCTCCTGAAAAGAGTGATATATTTGTTATGTTTTTTTTAAAAGAAATAAATTAAATTTATAGCAGATTTAAGTCCTGTGTTCTTTTTGAAACACCCTATATAATTAATTAATGTGAATATTAAAGTCCTGAGTACTTTATTTATAGTTATATATTTAATGATGTACTCAAAATTAAAATAAAAAAATTATTAATTTTTTTATTAACATTTTAAATTTTATCTTTTAATGACTACTACATAGTTCACAAACATAACGACTATTACATTTATATTTTTTAATTAGTTTCAGTAACGTGGCTATTACCTCAAAATATTTCAATGAAAATGTATATAAATTTCTATTTATACAACATTAAATGTTAAAAAACCATCAAAAGCTCATTCAAACGCTATTCTAAACATTATTAAAAAATAATGAACATTATAATTTAAGTTTATTCAAACAAGAATGTATTTAAAATCGATGTTTTTTTATTATTTAATAAAATAAATTTGCCTACTTTACCTACGTTAGATTTAAATTCTTTAAACATAAGAAAATACAATTTCTTCGTCATGTGAAACTAATAAACTGGATTCAAATATTTGAATATACAATTTTCATATTATGTTATCATAATTTTTTTGGCGTATGTTATTAAAATAGTATTTTTTTTTTCGCTTGTAGTTTTCTGTTTGGTCTTATAACGCATATGTATATAAATATATAGAATGATAACAATTATTCCTCACTGGTATCCGTTGACTTTGTGCTCACTCCCAAAATCACCTTTTCCCCAATGAAAGTGCATCTGCTTGAACTCATACCGGGAATCGAACAGTGGCCCTCCTGTGATAAAAGGTACCTCGATGGAATTATTGGCAAGTGTGACGCAAACTAAACAATCAAATGACATTGTAAAAAAATCAATGTAATGAGATGAATATAACAGAATACTAGACTATGGTAAACGAAATTTCTTCGCGTTTAGGGAGATTTTTTTTGGCAAATTTTGTTTATTTTTCAGATAATATCTGATTATAACTGTTCGGTTAACATTAATTAATAGTAAACAATAATATTCTAGTCTAAAATTATATAAAATATACCATATTATGGTAGAGTATTTAATAATAATTCGTTTTTTGGTATCAAATGCTCTCACCATACTCCATTAAACTATTCTTATGTATGTATGTACCTGTATGTCCGGTATTGGCTATATTAACTGTGGCCCTGTTAAAAGCCCAATAACCGAAATAACGCAGAAATGGCAAATATCTTCTGATTGCATAACTTGTATCTATGTCCACAGGTGACTGCTCGGAATAATCATTTTTTGTGGTAACATATGGCCAGTCGACCACATCACTATCTAAAATAATTATTTAAATATTAGATGAAATAATATAAAAGGAAAGAGTTATCGGAGGAAATATATTTACTTCTAACCCTTACTTCTTTGATATTGAGATTGTGATATTTAATTAACCACTAAGTTATTTTATTTGAATAATACCAATGACAGAAGTCTTAACATAAATTTAAGTCTCCTGGTCGTTAATATTTCAAGATATACGTGAAAAATATACTATACATTTTTTTTTAAATAATACAGATAAATACAGTAATAGTAAATGTTGGGTTCCTAGTTCCGTTAAAGCTACTGATAACGAGTGAGCCAATAATCTAACATTGCCCTTTAGTTCGTTCGAATTTAACATACTGTTCTTTAATCTGGTTAAATAATACACTTAAACAAAATAAAGTACTATAATCAGTTCAAAATAATTTTTTACGGTTTATTTCTTTTAAATTTAATATTTTTAGGCATCCCCATAGTTCTTACAATGTCGTTTTAAACTTTCTTAATCTTACTTTATTAAATGATCGTCGTATACTTCTGCTATTAACATTTCTAGACAAGTTATTAACTGATGTTATTAATCGTCCAGAGTTGTTATATTTAATTAATTTTAAAATAAACAGCCTTAATACTAGAAACCCTCTGCCATTTTACCCTATTTTCTCAAATAAAAATTATACTTTAAATTCTCCCCATAATATTTTGATGAATGCAGTTAATACTTATATGTTTGATTTTTTTAATGTTTATTGTCAATAATTTATATTTAATTTGTAATTATTTAATTATGTATAGCTCTAAGTAGGATAATAGTAGTCAAGTTGATTTATATTTATAACCAATATTATGTAATACAATTTCACACTATTTAATAGAACACATTCTGTAAATATTTGTAAAATAAAAATAAAAATAAATAATACTAGTTAGTACCTACTTAATAGTGTTAAATGTCACTAGAAGTAGTTCAAAATGTAATATTTAATTCAACGTGATGGAATTTACAACAATGTTTAGCCAGAGTGGCAAATAATTAATAGTGTCGTACAAACTACAAACGTTATCTCACCACAAAGTTAAGCCATCGATAAAATACGGATAGCTGTCATAACACATGTAATACCTAATTAAACGATAAACGTATAAATGTCATCGTATGGATGTGCATATATATAGGAGATATATTAAATAAATTGCCGCAGCTTGTTTAATGTATCTTATCGGTATTGTCGCAAATTGTATATTAAATTTTTTGTTGCCGCAGTTACATATTGACTTTTAGAAAAGGATTAATTTTGCTGTGGCTTACCATTTTTCTAATAAACAAATATATGAAATTATACCTAGTTTATATATTTAATCATTGTAAAAAAAAAATCAGCAAAAACATCAATAGTACAATATTTATTTTAATTTTAGTAGACATTTCATGAAATTAGTTGTTTTTAGATTTTAATACAGAAATTAATGTTCGTTAAATTTATATAATTTCAAAATCGAATTAAAATGAATTACAAATTACCACAAAATATATAAAAAGTGTCAAATTTAAAATCATAAAAGTCAATTTTATCAGTAGTCTAGAAATGGAAACATTTTTCTAAATATGGGTATTTTTTTAAAAAGTTTTGTACTAGTTTATTCTATGTTTCATAAAAAAATTAAACTCATTCATTACTCTTCGATCTTTAATTCAATCAACGAACTTGAATTAGTTTCCAAATCACATTACATATTTACATTTGCTCCTCTATACAAATCCATGGAATCCATGAATTTATTATTTATGGATTTTAACGAAGTACAAGAGTAATTTAATTTTTAAAATATTATATACTCTCAATATTAAGATAGGTAGTTGAGAAATAAAGTGGTGGCAAATTTTATTAACAAATTTGGTTAAGATCAAAATGTCGTATTTCAGAAATCAAGTATGAAGGATTAAATATCGATTGATAAAAACCTACGAAATGTCGAAAAAAAAATGACGACTTATACTCCTATTAATATTTTTCCAAAAACATATATTAATATATTGTTATATAATCAAAAAGGAATTCAATTATTTGTTTTTTTTTTTTACATTGATTTATTATTTGGTTTTTAGAATGGCTACATAAATCAAATAAAAAGCTTAAATAATCATCAACATTTGTACTACTCATTTCTTGAATAGTTATTTATATTGATAAAATAAATAATTTAGATATAATCAAATCGAAAAAATTAAAGGAAAAACAGTTTATTGAAAGAAAATTATGACTCAACATTTAAATGGTTGTTGTTATTTTAATTTACTAGTTACAATTTTTTTATTTGACAATTATTTAAGTTGAAATTGTATACAAGTTATAATAATCACATTAAGCATCTAGACTAAAAAATTATTACCTACTAATTTTACGAATACAAAAATATATGTTTTTTAATCAAAATCATTCAACAGAAATATTTTAATGATAACAATGAGATACTAACCACTTTGCGTCGGTGCCAAGACTCCTAACATAAACCACAACAGAAGCGTCCAAATCATTTGATAGCTGTAACAACATTCGTGATGACTTAAGACACAATGAGCATCACATAACAGATAAGTTGTATTTATTGTTTTTCCCCCAGCTTTGAAGCTAAGAAGGAAATACGGTTCATAACACGGTAAATTAAAAATCGACCGTGATATAGGTACAATAGCCAATATTCATTGTTTATTATCTTTTATTTGTCACGATTTAGTCCGTCTTATCACATCGATCGCATGAAAACATTTAAAGTAAAATTATTTGTATGGAATTTACAAATTCAATTTAATTATATCCTGACGATATATGAGTTGTATTAAAAATGTATAAAACTTTCCTAGTATATTTTGTTATATTATAGCATTTTTTACTAGAGCATAATAAAAATATAATTTTATAACCAAAAATGTAATACAAATTATATAAATCATTAACTAATAATTAAACAGAGAGTTTTCAATTATTTCGGAACAGTTTGCAGATAATATATTTTACAGAACTATGGAGAGTAGATATTGATGACATACAAGCAAAGACGTTTAATTTTTTTAAATTTTATTTTTTAAAACAGTTTTGCCACTAAATTAAAAAAATTATGTTTCACATGAACTTTGAAATGCGATAAATTTTATGTTCAAATTTAAAATAAGAATAGACGAGTACCTCAGAAACGTATAGACGCGTACGAAATAAACTAACA